ATTGAAAATTATTCAGATCAGATTGAACTCAATCGTGCGTGACACTCAAGGATATACATAGGAACAACAACAACATAAGCAGAGTTACCGATGTACACAGATAGATGTGAAGATCCTGAATTCGTTATTAAACCCCTGCGAGACACCATCAAATCATTTGTCGAAAACTAAGTACAAGCACTTTGTAGAAACACTAATGACAACAAACCTTGATCCAGAAGACCTCCTTGTCCCAGCTTTGATGTCGAAAAATAATACAGGAACGTGCCCATAATAGAAACTAAACATCATGAGAAAGGCAACCACTAAAAGACAGAATCACTCTAGAGAAGAAGAATGGAGCTGATAGAATGTTGCCTGAAAAACTCATAAAGATAAACTGGGTGAACTGTCCATTGGATCATCACTATAACCCGTCAGGGCCAACATAATGGACATAATGGAATGCTTCGAAGACGAAGCAATTCGAACAGCAAATCTGAACTGAAATCCACATTATCAGAATTTGACACTCCAAAATAACCTTTGCTTCATCAATGCGTATTTTGTCTAGGCATAGGGATGTGGCGACCCGATCGCCCACGATCAATACTTGATCATGTAATCAGCCAGCCCTGAGCTCGAGGGACCCAATCGTCTCAGTTTTTATGCCATTGGGTCGGAACTCGAGTTTAGGGACCGTGTGTCTGCATACCCATGTTAATAAAAGTCACGCACAGGACAGCAGCTCAGCAAAGTCCTTCGACGATCGGCAACTTGCGACGGTAGCAGGAAAGTGTACTCTGGATTCTGGAAGCTCTTAGTGACAAACCGGTACGGAGGCGGCGGATAGCGTGATCGCCGTTTTGCTCAAGGATTGGCTGTAGAACAACTCATGTGCTGCGTCCGTGACGGAGCAGCCCTATTTAGGATCCCCTTTGCTCACTCTGAAAGGGAAGGGGCTAAAAGGTGCCCTAGACATAGCCAGCCAACAACTGCCCTACTGGATAACCGCGACCAGAGGATGCACTCTATGCGGTCGAAACAAAACAAAAAAAAAACGCAATCTTGCCATGTGGAATATTCGTATACTTATGGATACCAGCGCAAATACAAGACAACAACGAAGAACGGCAACGGTGGCACGGAAATTAAGGAGATTTAACATCGATATTGCAGCTCTATAAGCGAAACCAGAAGAGCAGGCGAAGGTCAACTCAAGGAGCCCGGAGGAGGCTATAAGTTTTTCTGGAAAGAGCAGGAAGAGAATGAACCTCGCACCCACGGAGTGGTTTTGCCGTAAATGATGATGAATTAATTGACCATCTTGCTGAGCTTCCATCCGGAATTTGCGAAAAAGTGATGATACTGGGACTGAACCGCAACAACCAACAAGCTACGCTAATCAGCGCCTACGCTTCAACCCTCACGACTGACGATAACCAAGAAGAGGAATTTTATGCCCATCTTAGTCAAGCCATATCACAGGGTGACAATTTGAAAAGTAGCAATCGGGAATATCTCTAAGACAAAAAATACTATCAGGATGATCTCGAATACGTATCGAAGGATTGGAGGCGGAACCAAAATGAGGCACTTTTTGAGTCACCCTCACCCCTTAGGGGATAGCGCGCTATCCCAACTTATTTTTTTTTTTAAACACGAACCTACCTTGTGTTGCACATCGTTGGATAGCTCGTTGCTATCCCTTTACAGTCCTATAGAAAATCTTGAATCGTACGATTAGTTTTTGAGATATCGATGTTTAACAGTAAGCACATTGTGAAAACTAGTGATTTTGACTACCTCATAGACAAAAAAAATCTGTCATAAAAATCTCGCATACACATCGGCGAAACCAAATAATGTGTTTATCGTATTTCTATCTGCTTTTGCACCTCTCTAAAGACGAATAAAAAACCTTTTAAAGAAGCGGGGTAGGTTCTCATTTTAGAAAATTTTTTAGGAGTGGCTAGCCCCCAAGACAAGAGGGGTGGGGGTTAGGCAATAAACACATTCGGTTTCCCCGAAGTGAATTTGACACTCTTATGACAGATTTCTTTTGTCTAAGAGATAGTCAAAATTACTAGTTTTCAAAATATGCTCACTTTTAAACACCGATATCTCAAAAACTAATCGTCCGATTTAGGATTTTGCTATATGACTGTGAAGGGATAGTAACTAGCTATCGAACGATGTGCAACACAAAGTAATTTCGTATTTAAAAAAAAATAAGTTAGGTTAGCTAGCTTCTAAGGGGTGACTCAAAAAGTGCCCCCTTTTGCTTCCCCCTCCAATCCCCCGATACGTATTTGAGATCTTCCTGATAGTATTTTTTGTCTAAGGTCCGGTTTTTTCATATTCAGACAAACTTGCAGGTAACTATTGGCAAGATAAAGTTACCGTTCTATAACTCTATTGGTCGACGCATAACTAGCCAACCAATGGGATTAGAGATTGCATTTTTATCCTTCAGATTACATACCTGACAGTTTATCAGAAGGCGAATAAACCGGCCCTAAGAGATATTCCCGATTGCTACTTTTGTAATTGTCACCCAGTATAATCTATACCTAGATCTGATAAACTTGTTCTTTTTGGTGATTTTAACGCCCGGTTCGGTACTGAGTCAGATCTATGGAAAGGCGGGATTGGCAAGGAAAGTGGCAGGCGTCGGAAAAATGAACTCGAACAGACTTCGGCTACTAACCACATGCCACATGCTCAAGATATGACCTTGTTATACAGAATATACTTTTTCGATAAAAGAATAAATTCAAGAGTTCCTGGAAACACACTAGGTCAAAGCACTGGCATCTAACCGATTATGTAATTGTACGTTCTAGAGACCGAAGTAACGTAGGTATGCATTACGAGAGCTTTAACAAGTGCGCATGACTGCTGGACTGGCCATCGGCTGATACGAGCCACAATGAACTTGCTCATCCCACCAAAGCGTTTATGTCAAAAAAGCAGTTCCAACGAACATTCAACATAGAACGTCTTCAAGACGATCATATCAGGACAAACTTCCAAACCTCTGTAAGCCATAAACTTTCATTAGAGTACCCAGAAAGCATTGAGGAGCACTGGAAAATACTGTAGACTGCAAGAACATCTGCCTCGGAAGAAAGGATCGGCTACATATCGGGTCTTCAAAAAAAAAAACAATCAAAGATTACTTTGAATACGAAAACGTATGTCGCATTATTGTTTTTTCATTGGTCAGGATTTTTGACATGACATTTTGACATTAAAGTTCATTGAAAAAATTAAAGAAAAATATTGCTAAGACATACGTTTAAAAAACCATAGCAATCTTTGATTGGTTTTTTTTTGAAGACCCGATACAAAGGAAACATCAAGACTGGTTTGATGAAAACGGCACTGAAATTCAAGAACTTGCAGAAAGAAAAAGAAGAGCGCATAATGCATGGAAAAGCGACCCCAATTCGACTGTAACAAAAAGGTAATACCAGCAAGCAAAAGCAGAAGTTCAAGCATGAAAGAACCAATGGTGGATAGAAAAATGAAACGAAATGCAGCAACTATTCAGCTGACTCCAACAGCACCAAGGCCTTCTTTCCGGCTACTAAGATGGTAGGTATACAAACCAACCACTCAAGGACTCAATCTCTAACGATCCAAAGATGGCACAAGACTACAAGACTGCTCAAAGACAACTCTCCCATCAATTCTCGTTGGAAAGAACACCTAACAGAAAATCAGAAATTAATAATGACATCTTCAATGAAATTCTACAGAAACCAATACAACAAGAACTAAGCGAAGTTCCCAGATTAAAGGAGGTTGAAAAGGCAATCAGACAACTGAAGAACAATAAGCCCGCTGGTACTGATGGCATCCCTGCTGAATTCTTGGAACAAGGAGGCCCCACACTAAGGTCCCAAACCCACACCTTAATAAGTAAAATATGGATTATTGAGACCATATACCTGCCGAACTTAGAAATGCCTCCATACTTGCCATTTTTAAAAAGGGAGACAAGGCTCAATGTGGAAACTACAGATGAATATCTTTACTTTCTGTTGCAGGAAAGATAAACTTACCCGGATATTATCAAATCATTCAATCCCAACCGCCGGAGAGAACCTCCCAGAGGAACATTATGGTTTAAGACCCAACCGAGGAAGGGACAATGCTGCCAGAGACTGGGTGTACCAAGGCTGTGGAAGAGTGTGCGGCTCCAGAATTGGTTTATATATATACATCAGAAAACGCACAATCAACGAAGAATAGAATAGAAGATAATCATACTCGATTTCGAGTGATTGCCTATGATGTATAACAAGAGGCACTTCCCAATTTTTCAGATGTACTCGCAACAAGAAACGGCAGATACATCAGAACGACCCGTCAGCAGGAAATCCACCCACACAGGACAATATCTTAAGTTCAACTCAAAGCACAGTCGAATGACCAACGAGGCACACGGAACCTACTTCAGATGAAATGTCTGAAGAAGGCATCGTATGCAAAATTTGTAATGGATTGCCATCAAGTAGCGGCTAAATCAATCTCTCTTAGAACAACGATAGTTCAAACGCAAAGTCAAGGAAGCAGAGTATATTAATTGAAACAAATACGTATACAGCACTCCATCAATAGAAATTCCAAGAATATTGAGTGGAGACACACACTTGAAAAGGGACACAAATTATTAAGGCTGCAACGCCTGCAACCGTATAAACTCCAGGAAGATATAAAGATTCCTGGAAATTGCGGTTAAAAAATCGTATACAAACTCGTAGCTAGTAAAGAATTGTCTCCGTTTTAGCTTGATAATGACCGGAGATACTTCAAGTCTAAAATTATATATCTAAAAAAAATAATAATATTATAAAAATATACAATTTTTTTCTGTAGTCTTGCCAAGCCTCCCCTTAGGCAACTACTTTTAAATATTTCAATTATTATACCCATCCAAATCCACTTTGGAATAAGGTGAATTTGATCCTGAAAGATCGATATAAAACTTAAAAAACCTATATTTATTCCAGGTCATCAAAGCACAGATCTTCTGGAAGACTGTCACAAACTTCTAGAAAAGTTCAATTATCCATGGGAAATGATGCCGTTGATGTATGCCATCCTCAAAGACGCCAGAGGGGACTTGGAGGAAGCGTCACGACGGATAGATGAAGGTCAGTTTTTATTTGCATTAAATCGTTTATTTAGTTATATGTATAACAAAAAAAAATATACAATGAGATATCGGAACAGAAATGACAAGAAACAATGATCATGAATATAGCTTGGGGTATACCTATGTCTGGTTTAGCAGATCAGGAGCTAACGGTGTCTTACGGTATTTCAGAAGGGTTCAGAATTTATTGAATGGAGTCAAAAGGAGTGGAAGTTCAAAATGTCCCCTCCAACACCCGGTAGTGGCGGCGTTGAAAGGCCCCGTGCTGTCCGAGGGCCCTAAAAAAATTAGTCATGCACAGATTATCAAACCTTATTTTTGTGTTGTTAGTTTCTATGCACTAGCAAGTTATATGTATATGTATATACCAAAGTGGATAATAATATTGTACAATTTTTTTCTCGTTAAGAAATTTCCTTATCATCTTTTGCTTTTCTCATTTATTACCTACTATTTTTATTTATTTTTTTTACAGCAGACTTAGTAATCCAGATGTCAATATCTTAGAATATTGTCACAAGTTCCCCGGATCCACCTAAACTCTACTGAGAACAAATTTCATTGAGCTAATTGACTTCAGCGGCGGATTTAGGATTCCTTCTAGGGGGGGGCGATCCATCAGGGCCTCAGGCTCAGATAAGAAATAATAAAAAAACGACTTAAATATACAGAGTGGCAAAAAAGTCGCGTATAATACCTGTAACTTTCTAATTACCTCGTATACGAAAAAGTGACCTTAATGAAAGTTGCTCAGTAAATTAGGGACATAAAGCTTCCGTATTTTTTGCTCGGTATCCGTATCGGTATCGTACTGCGCATGTGCAGAAGCGATACGGAGGCCGAGATACCGTACGTACAACGTAACGTTACGGCCCTCTCGCGGTATCCGTATCGGTAACGTATGTTGACATTCCTGACGCATGTCAAATTTCAAATGAATATAACCTCCCTTTTCTTCCGGGTTGATTAAATTTGTTTAGTTTATACTTTCTTGAGTTTCTTGTGTGTGTTTCTAGTGCTTCTCTATCGCAAAAAAAATAACAATTTTAAGGTTAGATATAAAAACGCCGAAGTTTTGAGACAAAAATGTCTAGGTTTAGGTTATGAAATGCGTTTACGTTTACCGGAACAGGGAGCGCTTCAACAGCCTTTTCGCTTGTCAACGTATCTAGTTGCGTTACGGATACCGATACCGATGAATTATTTCAAGTAGCTTTATGTCCCTAATATTTCCCACAATTCTACTTAAACGTATTGCCTGTGTCACTTCTGGTTTGTTTGCTATCTAGACCAACTTTCTTTTTTTTGAAATAAAACACCCTGTATGTGATTGCATATTTCGATTCTACGTAAAATTCTGAGCAGATTTCATGTGATATACCCTATACCTAAGTTCAACTGTTTTGGAAATATTGACAGTTGAACATTGACTTTTTGCAACTTTGACGGGCTGTAAAACCTGAACGGTTAATTTCAGAGGAAAACCGATTTCACATTTCTATCTTAGATTTTCATAAACTATCATTTGACATCAACATTTAATTTAATCGGAGATTAAATTTAATTGGAATTTTCAATTATAGATTAAATTCAAAGTTGGTGCGGATTTACGTCATCCGCAGTCGATTCGCTCCCAGCTCGCTGCTGCCAAACGTATTTAAAAGTATTAAAAATTTGGAAAAATAGCAAAAACCATATGGAATTTCATGTTGGATAATGCTTGATGAATATGTTTGTGTTTTCGTTAAAAATTTCGCTCAACAGGGGGGGGGGGCGCGCGCCCCCCCTCTAAATCCGCCACTGATTGACTTCACAAAATTCCCTAATCACCTATCGCTTTGACTTGCGCTTTATATCACAATACTCTTATTGAAACTGACTTTTAATCAAAAACCCCGCGCTTTATACGGAATCAATCAACAGGAATCTATCTAGAATATCGTGAATTCTTGTTTATTCAATGCACTCAATGGGAACAAATTCCTGAATATTCTTGTTGTGACGTCGGCTTTCCGGCACTAATATAATAACAATAACACTGCCTATTTCTCGTATCGCATCATATCTGACCATTTATTCTCGTGATAATGTATCAAGATGCACTACCTTTATCTTACCTTTGGGGCCACTTTGGATACGATTCACCACGTCGTTGGTTCTTTCCATACTGCTGTTAGCCTCAGGAATCTATTTTTCTTCCTTTGTGAATTTTAGCCAAACTCTGTTCTTATTTTGGAAACCTGCAGAATTTGCAAACTTTTTCGAAAATCGTCAGCATAGTCATGTTGCTGATATCTGGTGAGCGGAACGCCGTCAAAAAGGAAGCGAAGCTCTTTTCTAAAAAAACACCATGTTTGGTATAACTCCTCTTGTTTTATGTGCAGCTGAGCATTATTCCATCAGAAATAGTGATATATGGTCGTCCCAATCATCCTGATGTTTGTCAAATACTTTAGAGAAACTTTCATCGATCGTCTTGTTGAACCTAACTATACCTGATTTTGGATGCAATTCTGACAAGACATTAGCCGTACCCCAGTTACAGGGCTTTGGAGTCGCGCGCATCGCATTATTGTCAGTTCTAGCCAGCGTTCCACCCAGCTGATCAATAATCAGCTGATTATTTGTTTATTGTTTGTTTAAGTTTTAAGCCCCAATGACCCCAATGTTATCGTGATCTGAAAAGATGTAGGTACTTTCTGCCCTGCCCTTCCAGAAAAATTGACAATTTCTAAGAAAAAATAAAATTCAGGGTCTAGGGTTCATGTTCATTTTTTGAAAACCTAAATTTCGATTTTTTTTTATTTTAATGTTTTTGATTCAACATTTTTTAGCACAAATAGCTTCTTTCTTTAAAATGCAGACTTACCCAAACGAACCTGTCCATCTAGTGAGATCTAGTCCTCATAAGTTACCATTTTGTTTGAAAAAAAAACAAGATAATTTAGTTTAGAGCATAGCGTCCCTTGAGCGCGCTTTGTTTTTTAAGTAAAATTATAATTTACAAGGACTTAGATAGCACTAGACGGACTGGTTATTTTGGATAAGTCTGAATTTTCTCTCTAGAAGGCCCTAAGGCCTGTTCTAAATTGAACATAAAGAGGTTAGGTTATCAATTCACCAATCTTGAATCTAGTGGAGATACTCGCGGATACTCGCGGATCTTGTTTTGTTTGTTGTTTGTAAAACTGCATCCAGTTCCTCATCCCTTTTATTCGCATAGATGAATAAATCTAGTGGAAAGGAAGATAGATGACTAACAATTTATGAAGAAAACACCATTAATATCATGATATCATAACTAGCATAGCAATACAAGCAAAGAAGTACAAAGTTAATGGTTATATAAACTGCTGGACATTCGAACTTTCACATTTACAGATTTTTAGGCAAAATTCGAGGTTTCAGATCTTCGACACAAATAAAGTTTTTTTTAACGCGGTTTGTGGATTTTAATAGCCTGATTCTTCCGGATAAAGCTTGCCGTAAATTTCTCATAGGACCATAGGGTTATGATATAGGAGGCGATAAAATTGAATTTTGCCTAAAAATCTGTATGTGTAAGTTCAAGCGTCCAGCAGTATATTTCTACTGCCAACACCTCTCAACTTTTGTAAAATTATTTTTAAAGCTCAACATAAAGATTACGATATCAAGCTTAAACAGAAGAAATAATCAGCTGCTGGAATTGACAAAAGTGACTAACAAAGAAATGACAGAGCGTGCGCGCGACTCCGAAGCTCTGTAACCGGGATACGGCTAATGTCTTGTTGCAATTCTGTAGTATTGGTCTCGTGAATGCCTAGTAGTTCACGAAGTTTCTGGAATAATCGTAACTCGAAGTTACACCCTTGATTTGAATGAAGTTCCAACCTACACCTAGTAAACCGTAAAACTACTGTTAACGAGGAGTTATGCTACTCAGACGCTTCTAGGTTTGGAATAATGGAAGCTTCGGACCACTTGCTAATATTAGTCCATGTCAACCAGGATGTATTTGTTGTCATTGCACGTAGTAGAAAATGGACCAGCCTTGTGTATGGTCATTCGTTCGAGGGGTATTCCTACGTTCTACTGCCTCATTTGTCCCTTATGTCGCGTTTTAGGACCGTGAATTGCTGCACATTGTCGGAACCATGTCTTGTTGACAATTGTTTTCCTGGACACAAGACACAACCAATGTGGTCTATGTCAATTCGTCGTGAGTCAATTCGTCTTACGTCAATTCGTCGTAAAGTCAATACGTCGTGAAGTCAATTCGTCGTAAAGTCAATACGTCGTATACGTCAATTCGTCGTATTCCATGTATAATGTTAAAATGTATAAAGGACTAGTTTTTGAGATACAGGTAGTTTAATGTCCAAGAAATTTACACATTTTATATGCATTTACATCTACCTGTCACCTTATGATATACCAGGATGGACAAGTATCCTCACGCTCAGGTGACATGTAGATATAAATGCATATAAAATGTGTATATTTCTTGGACATTAAACTACCTGTATCTCAAAAACTAGTCATAGGATTAGGTTCTGCCCATGGTAGTTATTGATCAGAAAGGTGAGATCTATAACATACTAAAATTTGGTTAAATTCAACCGCGGTCAGAAATCCCATAAGAAGTGTGAGGGACCCTTTGCAATTTTTCTATTTAATCAGAGGTTACCAAACTTAACGATAATAACCCAGTTAGTTTGGATAGTTTGCAATTTTAATCTAACCCAAACTAACCGGGTTATTATCGGTGAGTTTGATAATGTCTGATTAAAATTATTGCAAACTATTAACACGTTGGCTACCACATGAGTCACCAGTGATGCATAGGATTCAGTAGCTTTTATACCGACAGGGATGTTTGACCCAATGTACCTCCAATACGAGCTAGTCGACGTTACTTTACGACAAATTGACGTACGACAGATTGATTCACGGCGAATTGACGTACGGCACATTGATTTACGACGAACTGCCGTTGGCCCCAACAAATGGGCTTGG